TATATAAAGTTTGTTCCACTTAAGAAGTCAGCATAGAAAAATCCTCTTTCAGGTTGCACTCGATCGAAATGTGTTTCAATGGGGTATTGAATTATTCCATTGACGATGTAAGCTGGCCCAACGTATTCATCACTAAAGATATTTAAATTTTTTTGAATGAATTTTTTTTTTTTTTTTATTCTCAAAATGATAATAACTAGATTTCTATTTATTTATATTACCCTATAACTTTACCAGACCAGGAGATTAATTTGGCAAAAACAGACATATTTTCTTGATCGTTATAACTTGTTCCATTCATATACGTTATGAGTACATAATTGGGGATCCAGCTGTATACCCTTAAAGCGTAGCTCCCTTTAATCCTGTGATATCCCATTTCAACCCTATCAAATAAAATAAAATTAACAATTCAAGCATTTTATTTATTTTTTTTTTAAGATAAATAATTTTAAAAAATCTAATTCCTCAAGTTACCTGCAGAAATTCCACTCGGGTATGCCTAATTCTTCTTGACTGATATATAATGGTGTTACTGTGCCATTTTCATATATAATTCTCAACCTTAAATCCGGCTCACGACACCCATTTTCAAGTTGTTTTATGACACGTATTAAAATAGACTTGTCCTTGTAAGTTTCAAGTTTTACCACCTCTAATTCTGGATCAGATTCAGTGTAGACAATTTCTGCTTTTGATTGGTGAATGGGCAGACACAAAATCAGAATGGATATTAGAGATAATAATATGATGATTTTTTGAAATGAATTCATTTTTATAAATATCGCGTTTTTGTTAAAAAAAAATCAAAAAATAATTACCGCGAATTTATAGAAAAAAATTTATTTTCAAAAAATTGAACTTTTTTTTCTACCGATTATTTTGGATTTATTGACGCCAAAAGAGAAAATACAAAAGAGGATAATGGATTTCATCGAAACTGAACTTTAATCATTATTTTGCTTTTCCAATAATAATATGGTCGAACATATTTGATCTTTATATTTCCAAATCCGTATATGATTTGCGTGAGATATGTCAAATCTTTTTACAAAATCGGACGAATAATGAATTACTGTCATCTACAAAATCAATGAATTTCTGCGTATATTTTCTGGCAAAGAAATATGGAAGGTTTGATTTCACTGTTTTCTTTTTTGTTAAAATGATAAAAGAAATCTCATTTCAAAATTGTTCTGAAAGGAAGGAATTGAAAATCAAATGTCACTCCCAATATCATACAATAATGGTTGTTTTGATCCGGACTTTTCAGCTGTTGCCATATTTGTCATCCGAATAAAAAAATTTATGGGGATATCTTTATATAAAGCGAAAAATGCCAAATTAATTATGAGTGTTCTTTGTTTCCAAAAAATGTTGACCGAAATTTTAGATTTCCTTTTTTTTTTCTATTGTTTACCGCTCATTAATTTAAAACATATTATCGACCACTTTAAAGATTAATCTGTATTCAACCGTATTTTTAAAGTTAAAAATTATTTAACTGTTCAATTATTTTTTAAATGATGAATCGATATTTCATGGTTTACTAACGCCCGTGATAAAAAAGGAACCGACAATAAAATATAAACTTTTCTTAGTAATCATATTTTTTTTAAAAAAAATTTTACACGATTTAATATTGCCCTAAGCTTCTTAATAATCTATAATCATCTAAAACATCTTAAAATATAGAAAATTTATAAAAAAAAATACAGAAATAGCAACAAAAATTGGCTTAATACTTTTAAACTTTTCGAAAAAAAACACAATTGAAAATATAAAATACCAAATTATCTACAAACTTACGACATCAAGATTTCAAAATTTCAAAAACAAGAATGCAACATTACAGATTCCTCAAACAATAAATCATTAAACACAATATTTACGTCCTAATAATAATAATAATCAATATTTAGTGAATGCCGTTTTCAAGATGTTTTTAACTAGGCTTTTTTTAACCATGAATAGTTAAAACTTATAATTAATGTCTTTTATATTAATTGTTAAAATATAGTAAATTTGAATGAAATAAATAAATATGTATGTTTAATGTTAAATTTATTCATTGATATAAATTTCCAGTATGAGTTTCAGATGATATATCCCATTAATATATCAAAGTATAGTATCATGGGTGAACAATTAGTAGTAATGGGAAATATTTTTGTTTATATCACGATTCCATGACTTTTTTTACTGATAATTTTCACAGTATAAAACCAATCAAATTAATACAATAACATTCTCGTATTTGAAGTTAAAAAAATTTCTTGAAGAGAAATTTGTGATTTTGAAGAATTATTATTATTATTAATTATGTTATTTGATATTATTAAGTTATTTTTTTTAGAAATGTCTGTAATATTAATCAATATGTTCAGAGCATTATTGGCATTTGGCTGTTTGGCTAGTGTTTAGCTATGGCCATTTGGCCATTTAGTTACAGCCAAAATGGCCAAATTTTATTTTGTTTTGGCCAACCAAAAATATTTTTTTATATACAGTTCATGCAATTTTGCAAAAAATTGAAAAAATTAACACCTCTGATATTCAATTTTGCAAAAACTGACACCTCTGATGTTTGAAATGTTAAATTTAATGCAATTTTGCAAAAATTAGCATTTCTAATATTTGGAACATTCAATTTAATTACAATTTGCAAAAATTAACACTTCTGATATTTAGGATATTCAATTATAGTAATTGCAATTTTGCAAAATATTGATGCCTCTGATATTCAGAATATTCAATTTAATACAATTCTGAAAAAATTAGCACCTTAAACATTTGGAATGTTTAATTTAAATACAATTTGCAAAAATTATGTCTCTAATATTCAGGACGTTCAAATTCTTGCAATTTTGTAAAATTAATATCTCTAATATTCAGAATATTCAATTCTTTGACTTCAAGACATTAAAATTCTTGCAAAATTGCAATTAATTAAACATCCCAAATATCAAAAATGATAATTTTATAAAATTGCAAGGATTTGAATATTCTGAATATTAGAGATATCAATTTTTGCAAAATTGCATAAAATTGAATGTCTTGAACATTAGAAACATTTATTTTTTGCATTTTGCAAATAAAATGTTGTCAAAATTTAACAAAATCATGTAAATTTTTAATTGATTTAACTGATTAACCAAATTGACTAATAGCCAAAATTAGATTGTAAAAAAATTATTATCAACTAAAAATGAATATTTTAACAATAAAATTAAATGTTTGAATATGAACTATTATTATTTTTAAATATTAAAATTTTATGAGACTTTTCTTTTAAATTTATATTAATTATTTTTATATAATAAAAAAATAGTAAATTTTATACTTATCAAACTTAAATAAATTAATTTTAAATAATAATATTTCATTTTATACTATTACATAAAGTTTATAATTTAAGTTAAATTTATATAAAGAGTTAAATAAAATTATAAAAATTTATTTAAGAAACCAAAAAAAAGGATTTAAATATTATTTTAAATATAAAACATAAAGATATTTTAAAAATTATATATTTTAAAGACTTTAAGTCAATATAGTGAATTATATTTTGGTATTAATTAATTTTGATGATATTAAAATTAATTATATCATTTTAATATTATCAATCAGTAATCATATCAAGGATTGGCAAAAATTAATATAGGGAGTTGATTTAATTAGAAGATCGACATTTATATTTGAACATATTTTGTAAAATTCATTTTTAAATTAAATAAAAAAATTTTACATAATAAAGTATACTAAAATTTTATATGTAACTTGATGTTATTCTAAAGCTATAATATATTCATTTTTATTATTATTAGATAAATATTGGATAACTTACATTAGGAGCATTTTTTTATAAAGTAAAAAATAGCCAAATTTTAATTATATTTTAATGTAAAAATATTGTTTCATTATATTCTGTAATACTATGATATATAAAACATAAAGATTTAAGGTTAATATTTTCATCTTCCTATTGATAAAAAAAAGTGTTAATTACTTGTATTTTTATATTCTATTTTGACTATTTTTTGTTAAAAGAAAATTTTCAAATTAGTAATATTAGAACAAAGTTATAAAATTTCCTCTCTTTCATTTTCTTTATTTTCTGTAGACTTTTTAGAGAAATATAGCAATAAAATATGTAGTAATAATGAGTTTAAATATGAGATGTTTAGTGAAATATTTAATAATATTAATATTAATGATATATACTTTGAAGACTCTAAAGAAAACTAAGAAATATTTAAACAATATAGAGTTATAGATAATTTGAAATATACCAAATTTACACTATATGTAGTTATCAATTTTATTAAAGGTAAAATTAAATAATGTGAAGGATCAACAAAATTAAGATAATTATAAAATTTATTTAGCATATGGCAGGTTGATAAAAATACAATCAAAAAAGTTGATAGCATTTTATTAAGATTAAAAATATGTGATATTCATTTTTAATTTAATAATAAGTATTTACATAAATCACAAAATAAATAATTGAAAGATTTTAGTCAAGGAATTATTCAATAGCATTGATGCATTTTTTGCAATAAATATATTGCTTTTTTTCTTAGATAGAGGATACACATTACATTTTTGGCATTTAAATGGACAAAATATTTAAGTTCTATATATTGGATAATATAAATGTGAAGCATTACAGGAATATCCACTAGTATATAAATAGACTTTTGATGATATTGATTCATGATAAAAATGCTTTTATTATTAGTGTTACAAAAGTTTAAGTGGTTATATTTATCATCATTCTAGAAAGAAGAAACATGTGCTATATTATATGCTGATAATACGATAAAAGGGTTAGAATATTTGGATAACTGGTTAATTAATATTATACAAATAGAAAACAATGATAAAGAAAATATATTAACACAAACTTTCAAAACCCTTCTTCTTTTTACTAACTTAATGCCTAGTTCTAATTCTACTATACTACTTTTCTATTTTAAATGAAACTCCTAGTTTATTTATGATAAAGACTTTTTTTATTGAATTTTCTAAAAATAAAAAATCAAAGAAAAATTAGAAATTAAAAAAAAAGAAATTAAAGAAAATATTAAAAAAAGTTAGAAATAGAAGATTTTGAAGTAAGTATACTTCCTTTTTCTTTTGTAAAAAGTTCATTAGTATTGAATTGATATATTAAAAAATAAAGCTTAAAATTTTCTAGTTATTATATATAGTTTTCAAATTGAAGCCAATTTTTTTTAAATTAAAAAAAAAAGATATGAATGAACATTTTTAATTAAAAATATATTGATATAGGAACTTGATCATGCATTTTAATAAAAATTATAAAATTTGCGATTATACATTAACTCAAAAACATCTACTTTATAATCTCTGAAAACTATTCAAGAATATTATGATAGTTTTCCTGAATTTTTAAATGATTTCTTTTTTGGAGTAATTAATGAATTGTATCAAAAAAGATGACAGTATATAACTGGCAATGAAGATGGTATCCCTTATTATTGAAAACTATAACTTTTGAACTAATAACAAAAACTATAACATTTATTATATTAATATTATTAGGATTAGTTTTCCCTCATTTGAAAATTTGATTACTTTGAGTTTTAACTAGTCTTAATCATATACTAAGATTACTGGATTCTTTTAGATAGTTATTGATAGTTTATCATATAAGTTTGCATAATGATAAATACAAATAAAAACTTGTAAAAATCTAAATAGAAGAATTAAACCCATCAAAACATTTAATTCAAGCTAACAATGT